GGTCTGTGGAAGGTAGGAAGGACAGCCTGAGGCAGGAGGATTCGGACTTCCAAGATACACAGGCTAAATTTCAGGGCTCTTAGGGCATGCAGGTAGAGAAGTTGAGTGGGAGGATATACATAGACACACATACATACACATACGCACATATATAAACATACACACAGACATAGATACATCTACAAACATCCACAGACATATACACGGATACACACACACACAGATGTACACATAAGCACACACGTATTCATGCACATACACATACACTACACATAAACACACACACACACCATACACACAAGCACACATACTCACATATACACTAGGGTTTGAAGCCAATAGTTGTTTCTTTGTCTTCGTTGTGTTCGCAGCTATAGTTTGGAGGCTAACCTTTCAATTCTTAGAGAAATATTTAAGAACATAGGTTGCAGGCTAGGCAAATGGTCCCGTCAGTCAAGTGCCCACCTTGTAAACATGAAAACCCATATTCAGTCCCTACAGCCCACATTGGGAAAAATGCCAGCCTCACCTTGTCACATGATCCAAGCTGAGGTAAACCATGTCTAAACAATTACGGTAGATGGCACCTTCCAGATGACCCCGGAAATTGCACTGACTTCCACCCACATGGTCACCCCAGCACGCCTTTATACTTGTGCTTGCACACTCGCACACACAAAGGAGAGACACAGACAGAGACAGAGAGACAGTGAGGGAAGGAAGAAGATACAGAGAGGGAAGAATTTTTTAGGTTTTTTTTTTTTGATTGTTTGTTTTTAGCAGTGAAGGTAAAACACTAGTTACCTCATTTAAAATATTAACTAGAAGTTGTACTGTCTTTAGCCCTCAAATTTTCCTCCTAGAAATTTGTTAAACGTGCATACACATATACTCTCTTGAAATCCTTCCTATAGACGTAAGCACTGCCTAAATTTATAAGCAACAACAAAAACAAACAAACAAAAACAGAATATCACTTATCCAGCAGCCATTTTGGAGTGCCATGTTGAACTAAGTAGGCAGCCTTGCATTTAATTGAACTTCTGTCTGCTTATTCGCTTAGCGCTGGGGATCACACCCACGGCCTGTGTGTCCAGGCAAGTCCTTTCTCCCCCTGTGTAACATCCCACACCCACGCATGACTGTCTGCAGCAACCTTGGCATGCCCGTCCTTCAGAGTTTTCACTATAATGACCGAGGTCCCAGCATGAGAGCCCAGCGGGATGCGAGAGGGCAAACGAAAGAGAAGCTAGCAGGATGAAGTGGCTGCTCTTAGCCAAATGTCTTCCCTCCCGCGTGTCTTCCCTGTCCTCCCATCAATGTTGCACTCGTTTTACAGCTGAGAAGAAAGGGGGCCAGTGTGATTGTTAGTCTGTCAGCTCTCACACGTCCCATCAGCAGAACCCAGATCCGTCAGAATCCACTCTGGCGAGTCCACTCCTTTCACCAGGCCACGCTGGAGACAAAGTGATAGTGAATGCTGTCATGGGACAGTGGTTGTACCTGGAGACTGTGCTAGCTCAGTTGCTCTTGACAGTTTGCTAATGCTGTGTCATCCACATTTAAGCAAGGAAGCAACTGTAGGAAACTTGAGACAGCTTGAAGGACTGGTGTGTGACCAAGCCATGGTCTTGGTTCTGGCTTGTGTAATGCAGACTGCATTTTCACCTTATTGATGGAGAAGTTGCACCAAAATTTAAGGAACAGGGAAAGAAACTTTTCTGGGACAAAAATACAGTGGCAAAGAGAGAGCAGAAAGGGTGGCAAGGAGAGGAACATGCAGCCTGGCCATGCAGAGGGAGCAGGCGTCATACTGTGCAGTGCCCAGGGAAAGCATGCTGGGAGAAGGGAGAATGCTTTGAAGTCCAGCGACCCTGAGGCCAGAGGCAGCAGCACTGGGATGCTGGCTCCAGCCGGAGAATAAAGAGAGAACTGGAAAGGGTGTCTGGAACACTGGGGAGAAGTCTCATGTACAGAGGGAAGAGCCAGATTTAAAAATAAAGGTCAGGGAACAACTTTATTTGCTTGTATGGAGGGAGAAGGTGCCCTCTCACACTTAAAGCTGGGGTAAGTGGGAAGATGATCTAAATGTAAGAAACATAAATGGGAAGCAAGAGAAATCTGGAACTTGGGTCTAGGGCATTTTCAATAACTGGAAAGAAGGTTACCATTTTCAATGAAGGAGACAGAACTGAAGTTAGGAAGTAGGAGAGGAGGTGAGGGTGGGAAGGTTATATACTGTTATCCACAGTTAAGGTATACACACACACACACACACACACACACACACACACACGAGAATGATACATCTTACCCAAGCATTCTTTCTGGAATCTATGGCAAAAACATGGGTTGACAGGGGACCCAGCAGGTCAAAAAAGGTGTTAGCTGAGCATGACAAGATGAACCCATAAAGACAAGGTGAACAAAACTATGCTGTGGTTGACCTCTGGAACACATAAGTAAGATTTAGCGGAGCAGATAGCAATTCTAGAATCTAACATGGCATTACTCCTGGAGCTCCAGGCTCTCTAAAAGCAATGTCTGCTTTTGAGCCAGTACCTATTTGAACCTGAACCCACCATCCTCAAAGCTGAAGTGGCGTTTGTTGCACATAGGTTTAAGCTGCTCACCTTGTCATCATTTGACTTCTGCCTGTGTTCATAGTAACTGTTTTCCTGCTAGGCGCTATCTTGGCAGTCTGTAAAAAGCTTAAAGAATTCATTCTTTTATTCAAAGCCATGTGCTAAACCATTTCAAATATATTTGTGTTGTGGGGAAGCTAAACAGACCATAGAGAGACTAAATAGAGCTTAAAAGGCACATATCTCCAGGTTGAGTAGAGACAGGTCAGGGGCCAGGACAAGCAGTCTGGTCCTCTGAGGGTCTGACTAAATAAACACACCCAAGCCCATCACCGAAGGGCTGGATTTCTCCCCAGGGTACAGCAGGTCAAGATGCATGAAGGAATAAGACATTGAGAGGATTGTTCAGGATGCTGAGGATAGCAGCAGGGAAGAGGTCCGCCGTCAGCAGCAGATCATCGCCCTAAGTCATCCTCAGTCTAAACATTCTGTGCATCTGAAACAGCATTTGTCATTTGGATCCATTCCAGTGATTACTTCTGAGAAGCACAGTAATCACTCTCAAGGCCTACCGCCCCATATGACTTCATCTGAAACCTACTGAGGGACCCAGGAAAATGACAGGACCAGGACTAGCCTGTGACGAGGAAGGCTGGGACCACTGGGGAACTGTCCTCACCAGAACACTGCATCGACCTCCCATCAGCACTCTCAGTAGAATTTTTAAGCAGCAAGAAAATAGTTGATGTGTTTTGGCAATCAGTGGGTCAGACAGAAGAACTGTGCAATGAGGCTGTGTAATCTGGCATGATTAGACAAGGCTCTTTAGTACCAGCACATTCATAATGACACAAAGAAAGAGTATTAATAACACTTTGGTAGTGCGGCAGCTAGCCATTTTATATTTCCTTTCTTTAATCTTAGTGTTTTTCAACAAATCGTGGGCTTTAATAGCGTGTTTTGGCAGATTAGAGGATTTATGGCCCAGATGTTTTTTGTTCTAAAAATGGATTAGGGTGTAAAGTTTGCTGGAATTCGTGGAACATGTTGAGGCAAGCCGGTCATTTTATGTGTGATTAGTGTCTGCCTTCTGTCTCACAGCCCTCCATCTGTCACGGCTCACCAACGGATCTGGTTAGATTTAGCCTCATGTCACAAACAAGTCCCTTTTCTGGGCAATTTCATATTACAGATCTATCTGATGCCATTTGATGCCCCAGTTAAAAGACAGGGAGGGAGAGCAACTAAATATTAGCCATCCTTTAAATATCTGTGAAATGTGCTGGGGTTTTCCTCAGTTCTCTCTTACCCCTATAATAACCCAACTCTGCACAGTAATGCACATGCGTAAGTAGAGACCAGCAGTTCAGCGAGCTCAGGTTCTTAGCGCCACACTCCTTCCTTCAGCATCCTTCACTCAGCCCTAGTCGGGGACTTTCAAACCCAAGCTGGCCACTCAGCCCTCTCATGAAGCCTGGGTTAAGTGAGAGTGGAGTTAACAGCACCCGCCATGTCCGACCAACTTCGGGTCCCATCACATTCTCTGCTTCTGGTCTAATCTCCTCACTCTCTGGAGTTCAGAGCGCAGCAAACCGCTGCCACCTGTAGTTCATTTCCACAGCAAGTGGATTTACAGGGGCACGGGCTGGGGGAGCCCTTCTTCCCAGTTGGCTAATGATGATTTATTCCACCTGTCTGTCACAGGCCTGGGTGTACTAGCCACAAACTCTGACCTGAATTTTCTGATCTCCCAGAGACTTGGCAATCATAGGAGCAATTGCCAGCACACAGATCTTACACTAGAATGGACATGGCCTCTGCATTTTGTATTTTTATGCTTTGGAATACTCTAGTCTGGGGGCTAGGAAGATGGATCCATGGTGAAGAGCATATATTACTCTTGCAAAGCACCCAAGTTTGGTTCCCAGTAGCAGTGTTACATGGTTCATAGCCACCTGTGGGTCCAGCTACAGGGACTCCCATCTTCTTGCCTCTGTGGGTACTGGACTCGCACTCACACACACACACACGCACACACACAAAGTGTGGATGGTTCAAAACAAATTCAATCTTCAAGACATACTCAGGTATTAACTTTAAAAACTTAGATAAAATTTTATTTTAAATTTGTAGTTATTTAAAAGCAAGCAGACATGGCATAAGCATTTTATTTTTTATTTTCTGACTGTGGATGTTTGGCAGTGTTTTCATCCATGACTGTGTGCATCCTTCATCACCTCACTGACTGCGCGTTCACTCAATCATTTATTTCAGATGACTTTTATGAAGACATTAGGACCTGCCAGAATCTAGCCACGATCCCCACCCCCCTACATAAGTAACGTCGACATCCACCGAAAGTCAGCCTCTTCCTCCTCTGTGCACCTTGTATATCTGTCGTGTCTCATTCCCCAGGTTATTTAAATGACCATGATGCTGTCACCAAGGCAATACAAGAGGCTCGCCAGATGAAGGAGCAGCTCAGGCGGGAGCAGCAGGCGCTGGACGGGAAGGTGGCCGTCGTGAATAGCATAGGTCTCAACAATTGCCGGACAGAGAAGGTCAGTGGGCAGCACCCTGCTCTCTCAGCTGCTGTGAGCAAGCACCTGGGCACTTGCCTTTCTCCCATCCCTTCTTCCTTGTCCCTTCCCCCATCAAACAGGAGCTCCTGGGCCCACCCAAGCATTAGAAGGCAGTGCTTCCCCGGACCTTACTGAGGACGAGCCTGGCCCCTTCGGCTGCCAGTGTGTATTAAAATGAAGTGGCATTTGAAATGCTGCATCTGAGGGGAAGTTCTGCCTTCCAGAGATGCTTCGCTTGTATTTGGGCATCAGCTGGATTTGAAAACACGGAATCTTCTTTCGTCAGCCTAAGCTTGGCTGATACCCTGCCTCCAAAGCCTGTCATAATGTTGCCACTGACAAGTGTTAGGGACTCAGAATTGGAAAGTTTGACTTCATCATGACACAAAATATGCTTTGACCTTCTGTGTTCTACCCAAAGCCAGCAGAGCTTCTGAACTAGCCAGAGACAGGGTGGCTTCCTGCCTCTTTATTCTCGGGTTAGCTTTGTTTTGCTTCGGGGGGAAAATGTGACTGTGGCGTGCTTGGAGTGGTGTACTCCTTTAGGTAGTCTCTGAATGAAAATGTTGAATGGTGACTGAACACTTATCATCCTAATGCTGCTGTAGATGAGGGGGTGGGGCTACAAGTCCGTTCTCCTGAGGAGCAGCAAAGCCCCACAGCAACTCCTCTGGTGGGCAGCGTGCTCCCATGGGTGGTTCTTTGGTTTGCCAAGTCATCTGTGGAACTGGGTGGGTAAGTTCCCTGAGTACAGCATAGGTGAACTTGGGACCTGGCCCTCGCCAGCTGCTGCTGTCTCCAGAGGCGGCAGCATGGACGGACTCGGTCCACAGGCCAGCAGTGCTCACAGTCCTTGTAGTCTAAGTGAGATGAGAGGACTCGAAGAGATGGCAGAAAGAAGCAAGGTGGCAGCCCTAAGAGATGATGATAGCAAGCAGAAAGGGATTTATATTCAAATATTTAAACATTCTTGAAAGGACGCTCCAGCAAGAAACTCTCTCCTCTGCTCCCTGCGTAGAAATGAGTTTAACACTCGGCCAGATGCTAACGCAAAGTGACGGGAGCTATTCCTCGCAAACATAGCTAAATTGCCGCTATTTGTTAAGCGCTTTGAATTCAGCTGTGGATGCAGCAGTTGGTTGCACTCTGTGAACATCTGTAAGCCCCCCCCCCCGTTTTTAATCCTCCGAAGCACAGACAACTCTACCTATCCCCGCCCCCCTCCAGCCGCCTCCCTTGTGCTAGCTGGGAATTGTCAAGTGACAACCGACCAAATCCTTTTGGACAGGAAGCCTTCATCCCGAATTCTATATACTTGCAAAATAGGCCTTGTGGTTGGATCGGGGAGCCCATTAAAAGCACTTTGATGGTATGGAAATCCATCTTCATGAAGTTCCTGAAGCCCCTCAGCAGCAAGCTGTTTAGCTGTGGTTACAGATCAGTCATTCACATCGAGGGCAATAATTGTGCTGACGGCTTGTAAGGCAACAGGAGTACATAAAATAATCCCGGGCCCTCCACCACGGCAACGCGAGTTAATCTTCTCTAATGCAGATCAGCTGTCGCTCCCATGCGTGCTCCGGCGTTGGCTTTGGTGACTCCAAAGCCTTTTGATTAAGCAACAGCAGCACGGCCCCTGCGCCCACTCCAGTCCAGGCTCATCCATGGCACGGGGCCTTACTTCTCATCCGAATCCGAACCCAGGGGCGTTTGCTTTTACCTCTCTGCTTACCACCTCCTGTTTGAGTGGCAGGCATGGTGTTGCCTTTTTGGGGAGACACTCCTTCAACTCCCCTTCCTCCTTGGTAGAGCGGTAACATCAGTTTGTTAAAATCTATTTTTGAAATCACAACCTGCCAGTTCTTGTTGGCCAGCTGAGTCACCATCACTGCTACCAAGCTCTTCGGCCGGCTGCATCAACACCATCAACCTGAGGCTCGTTACTGATTGGCTGCAAAATCTTCTTAATGTTTTTATCTTTTGAGTTTATTTTTAAAATGTTATAATTAGGCAAATGTATGAGTATGTGTGAGTGTGAGTCTGTATGGATGCGCATGTGAGTACGAGTGCACACAGAGAGCGGGAGCTGAAGTTACAGGGAGTTGTGCACCACCCAGATCGGGTGCTGGGTACCGCTTGGGTCCTCTGCAAGGGTGTCCTCTTGAGCCCAGAACCATCTCTCTCTAACCTAGAACTCGGTCTTGCATCTTTATTGGGTTTTGAAGTGGAAAATTTAAGTTATGAAAATGGAACCTTTCTCTCTACCGTGACAATGTGACACATTCTTTCTATAAGAGAACACAGCCAGAGGGGCTGGTCAGCTTCCGTATGGGCTGGCAGCACCACAGGTGGACTCTGAGCGTGCTGCAGTGCATGGCAGCAGGTGCCATCATGCTTGCTTGCTGCCTTTTTTGTTGGACAAGCCTGGGTGTCAGTTCTGCACTGATCAACCTATGTCTCTATAACCTGTGGGAAGGTGAAGGACGATGTCAAACCTGCATCTTTGAGTGCTTATTCAACATTCAAACCTACTGTGTGTGATAGGCAATTATTCAGTATTCAGTATTCAGTATTACCTACTGTGTGTAATAAGTTATTCAACATTCATACTGTGTAATAAGCGATTATTCAACATTTACACCTACTGTGTATTAAGTGATAATTAATAGTCACACCTACTGTATGCAATAGGTGATTATTCAACATTCACATCTGCTGTGTGTTACAGACTTGCTGCATGTTGAGGGGTCAGTTTTGAGCCATAAAATATGATCTAATCTGGCAGCTTTAGTAAAATTATTAGTGTATTAACTGCCTATTTTTGTGTGAGAGTCCAGAACCCAGGCTCCTTAGCACCTCCTATTAGTTACTTATGGGAGACCACAAAGCTGCCTACCATACTTCATGAAGAAGTACCCTCTACCTCACTGGTCTTCCCACCAGCTTCTTGTAATTATGCACCTTCTTCTGAGGTCCGTTCACCTCGAGGTTGGCACTTAGCGTGAAACCTACTGTAATTCTTGAAGAAAGGCTTCAGCAGAACAGTGAGGTAATGTCCTTTTGCATTTTTCGCTAGCATTTCCCTGTGCCCATTTGAACTCCCCAAAGAATGTTATTTGCTCTCGCAAGTAATGGTCCTGGGGTGAGAGAGATTGCACTGCAGTTACCAGGGCTTGCTGCTTTCAGGGAGGACCAGTGCTGGCGCCCAGCACACATCAGAGACAACAGCCTGGAACTCCAGCTCCAGGAGAGCCATACTTCTTCTGCCCTCTCAAGACACCCAAATTCATGTGCACACAGTCACATGTGCGCACACACACACACAATATATATACATATGGGCGTGCAAATACTTGTGCTTATACACATACACACAAAGTTGGTGATAACTAAGCAGACAGAGGTAAGGCAGAAGGATGAAAGGACTAGGGACAGAGCAGAGGGGACTGGGAAGAACGAACCCCAGCATTACACTGCACCTGGATCCACAGGGAAGCTGGTATCTGGCCCAAGATCCAGATAATTAAAGTCCTATGCTGGAGATTTGTTCCCTCGGGTGCACAGTCCATGTGCGCACCGACTCTTCTTCACATGTGCAAACCCGGATGTCCCAAGGAGAAGGTCTCGATTCTGCGTAGCTGTAATTGGCCAGTGAAAACAATTAGAGGTGTGAAGACAAGGACAAATGTTTGCTGGGTGATATATACCCAAACACATTACGAAAGTCGTTTTTACTGAAACGCATTTTAATTGAAGACTTCTAAAAGATTTTTCACTCCTTTACTTTTCTTGGAAGTGTTTCAACATACCCAAGAACTGTGTGTGTCAGGTTTCTTGGAAACTCTGGGACACAGTGTTATTTATAATTGTCATCTCTGGTTAATTATAGACTGATTGTATATTCAAATAATGTTATCTTCTGCCACAGAACTCTGCTGCAGATGACACTGTAGCACAAACCCCAGTGTTGAGGGTGGAAACGGAGGCCTCTAGGTAGGAAGAAACAGGAGGGTTGAAAGCTGTGTTTCCTCGACACAGATGGGGCTTGGCCTTGACAGCACAGGCAAGGGGCTAGCAGGCTTCTGGCCTGGACTTGGCAGCATCTGTATGCCAGGCAGATCACAAGAGCCTGGTTTGGTATTGTGCTGATCCCAGCAAGCAGTCTGACCACAGTAGACTTCAGCACACACCTGACAGGAGAGGCTGACCAGAAGGTTGCCATATCGTTTCTCTCCTCCCAAATACAGTTTTACTGGGAAGAGCAAACCCCATGCTGTCATGTATTTGGAACACATTTTTCAACACACAGGAGGGAATCTAAGCGCAGGAACATGAACAGTGTTTAATCACTATCAAAAATAAGAGTGTTCAGATGCAAGATCTGCTCACCCATTGTCTAGCGGCTCCATGGCATCTGGGTTGAAATAGCTGTGACTCTTGATTTTCCTTTCTGGGTCACAAGACAGTTGGTGTACCTAGACCTAGGCTGACTTCAGGGAGATGAGATTTTTCTCTTTGCTAAGTCACTCTCCCTTTACCTGGGCCTCCCTCAGCACCACAGGCATCCCTTTGGCTACAAGTGGGTCTGTGAATTTAAGGAAGCTCCTGGTCAAGAGCAAGCAGAGTGCTTTGCGTTGGTCCCAGATCCTTTTCTGCAATGGAGGGTATCTCTTTCCTGAGATCAGGGGACATTTTGACCATTTTGACATCAAAGGTGATCTTTGTAGAGCAAAAAGGAAGTGTCTAGTAGGTATTGGGTAGGAAAGGCAGGCATCAACCCTGCCACACTATAAAAATACCATTGGAGGTCTCAGGTGGTGTGTCTATCAGGCTGGGTTGTTGTTCATACTCATCGCCCCCCCAAATCCCGCTCTTCCAGCACCACACGCCTCATGGCTCACCCATGGCTCACAATGGTTTATAACGTTAAAGTGTGGACACAGCAGGAAAACAGTGTCAGAATCCATGCCACCATACAT